CGCCTGCCGCCTCTCCGGTCCCCGGGTCGGCCGGCTCGGGTCTGCGGGTACCTCGCTTCCCGGCGGGGGTCGGGGAGAAGAAAGAGTAAAGCGTCTTCTGGCCGATCATCCCGGAGCTGAGGAGGGGGCGAGCGCGCCGCCCGAGGACCGGTGAGCTCTGTGCAGCCTGCGGCGCTCAGCATTTGGCGCCAAGCGGCCCGCGCATGCTCGGAGCTGGGGGCTTTGCTGGGGGCGGGGGGCGACCCGGGGCCCAGTGCGCATGTGCGGGAGGGGTTGGTGCGCCGCGCTGGGAAGGTGAGAGGTGGTTTGCAACCGCGCTTGGGTGCCTACGTTTTCATTCGTTGTGTTGGTTCATCCCATCTTTGCCATTGGGCCAGCCCTAGTTCTCAGCTGTAAAAAGAAAGGCACCTGCCCCATAGTGGTATAGCAGGAAAGCAATATAATAGTATCTGTGGAGCTTTTATATATATACACTTTTACTCATTCACTCTATTTTTACTGACAACGAACTAAGGCTTAGAGCGATCAAATATTTTGCCTAATCTATAAAGTTTGGGGGAGACTTTAATTCAGGGTATGGAGGTAAACTAAACTTAATCCTCCACCATACCTTCTCGTCCCATACCCCTGGATTTTTCTCTTTCCTCTTATCCTCGCTCCCAAGCCATCACAATCTCCTTTTGGTTCTATCTCCAAAATAAATTCCAATTCAATTGTTGCTCTTCCATCCCAGCTGATCTCTTTCCTAAGGCATGATCACCTTGAAATGCAAATTACATCATGACAATGGTTAAACTCCTACAGTTACCAAATATGCTTAGAACGACACCAGAGTGGCTGGCAAGTGGTGTGGTGGTTAGGAGCCTGGACTCCCACATGAGTGACCACTGTTCAAGTCTCAGACCTAGCAGCTTGCTTTCTCACTCTCTTTCTGTGTCTCTCCCTGGTCAAACTGAATAATGATGATGATGATGATGGTAAATTAAATAAAGAATTCTTTTTAACAAAGAAATGTTTCAGAAAAAAGAAAGAACAACATCCGAGCTTCCACCCAGCTCTCAGGGCTGCTTCCCTCTCAGAAGCCTGTATACTGAATCAGCTCCTTACACCTTGGCTGGACACACCCAGTTAAGTCCCCCTGCGTGTTCTTACATCCTTTCACACACTTGTCCCACTACCTAGAAACTTTAGGTCTCAGCTCACGATTCTTCCTCAAAAGGAAAGAGTCCTGCCTCATTTTCTAATTCATCACTCTATTTAAACTTTCATACTCTGTCAGGTTATCTTATTTATTCTTTCCCTGCTTATTTCCACCTCCATCTCCAATGTAACCTGAGTGAGGGCAGGAACTTTATCCTTCTTCCTATGGGTGTGCCTCAGTGTCCAAAAAAGGAGCTTAGATGTAAGAGGGGAAGAAATCTGCCCTTACAAGCCACTCTGAAAAACGTCTCAGCAGTTTTATGTTAAGTGAAACATACACTTACTTGTGACCCAGCAAGTCCAGTCTACTTTACTCAAGGGAAATAAAAACACACAAAAGTTCGCACATGAATGTTTATAGTGATTGTATTCATAATCACTAAAATGGGGACAACCCAAATGCTCATTTGTAATACTAACCACTGTGCTGCACCCACACAGTGGAATAGTCCTCTGCAGTAAAAAGGAACAAACAACATAAATCTTCAAAGCAGTATGATTAAGGAATATAAGTCAAACTCAAAGGCTGTATGTTGGCTCAGCCAGGTGGCTGGTGGTTAAGGAGGCTGAATACATGACCGAGTGCATGGATCTCACTTTTGAGTCTCAGACCTGATGGCTTGAAAAACACACCAGGCACATGTACATGCATGCCCACAATCCCAAGAAAAGAAGAGAAGGGATTGTAGCGTGATCATCTCCCCAGGGATCACTAAATCATAGTCTGTCTGTCTGTCTTTCTTTCTCTCTGTCTCTGTCTCTGTCTCTCTCCAGCAAGCACACATACTCTATAGCAAAAAAAAAAAAAAAAGAAAGAAAGAAAGAAAGGCTTTATATCACCTAATTCCATTTATATGAAAGTCTAGAAAAGGCAGAACTAGAAGGACAGAAAACAGGTGGTTGAGGGCAGGGGGAGGGTATAAGCTGGTTAACTAAGGCAGAGGGAATGTCATGGAGTGAGGGAATTGTTCTAGTGTAGTTCTTGATGGTGGTGGAATTCATACAACACACCTTTATTAAAATTCACAGAACTATGCACTAAGAAGAGTCCTAAATTAATGGAACTTTTCATTCTATTAGGAGTCCATCAGGAGGGGGCAGAGTAAACAAAACTAGGGGTAACAACAGAACCTAACGTGTATTTGCAAACCCAGAAGCTCTTCTAGCACATCCTCTCGTTTAATCCTTGGGGCGCTTCATGCTATATAGGTGTGGAAGTGCCGTCTTTACAGATGAGGCCATTCAAGCTCAGAGAGGTTAAGTGACCAGGCAGCTAGAGTGGAGAAACGGAAGCCACACGGTCTGATTGCAGAACTCTGTGCTCCCCTCCACCACCATGTGCGGATGCCCAGCTCCCAGTCTGAACACCAAGACAACCCCCAGTGAGAAGTGACAACAAACAATTCTCAAACCACAGATGATTCCCAACAGGGACCCACCAATTAAATACTAAATACTGTTAAAACAGCAACACATGCAATGCATCGAGAGAGCCTACAGGTGGCGCTAAGAGGCCGCTCGGTAGCTGGATTTGCAAACCCCGCCCCGGCCTGCATTTCCCAGCTTGCAGCGGAAGTCTATGTGACAGCAGATATCTGCGGGCGGGGTGAGTGTTTTT